GCCCACACTTAGTCTAGCTTTGCAGATTTTGTAAAGTGACGGTATATAATAAACAGACCTCCGTGCCAAGGTCTAGGACAAAATTTCTTAGGTTAGGAAGGTAATAAAGAGTACCATGTAAGATCTAAAAGCTCGGACAGCCTGACCAACTTGGTTCTAAATCCCAGCTTCCATACTCGAAAGCTGTGTGATGTGGGAATGACTTAGCTACTCTGAATCTTAGTTATTGTTTTAAATGCAAAATTAGTAATAAAGCTGCTAAGAAGGCAAATTAAGTAACATTTGGTATGTAATGTACCTAGAGCAAAGCACATATTCAATCATGCTAACCTCTTTCCCTTCTATTTATAACTGATAGAAGAAAACGCTCAATACTGCATAATTGGGCCTCTGAAACTCTATGGTAAATTGGGAGTTTCAAGTCCTGTAAAAAGAATAGCTATCTATTTGACAGAGGTAGGTGACCTCAACTCCGTACTCACTTCCAGTGTTAAACAGTGTGGCCTTCGTGATACCTTCTTTCATCAGATTGCCCTTACCTAGGGGAGTTAAGCATGACATGAAAACAAAGAACATCGTTAAAAGCTTATCAATAAACATCAATCACTAGTATGTGGTAACAAGAAAAGTAACACTTAAAAGGAAGGGACAGACCACCAATGCGATTTCTTTATCCAGGCCTCTCTTCTCAAAGCTCTCAGGAGCACAATCCTATTTATTGACTAGCCTGGTTAGGAATATCCAATGAGGATTAGCCTTCCAGAGATACCAGAATTCTTTCTCTTTTCAATTTTTTGAATTTATAAAATATGAATATTTTGATTTATGAGTGCTCATTATTTCCCAAAATTTCAACAGTCTATCTCACACATGAAATTTCCAGGTATAAGTATATTCAAGGAGCATGTAAAACATCTAATTGGGTATTTTATTCTACAACTTCTTGATAATTTTTAAATGTCAGTTCTCAAGTGAAGTCATTTTCTACCACACTAAATTCCAGAAGCCAGAGGTTGAGGAAACTCTCCAGTAATGAAACAAAGGGGACAAAAGTATGACTTTCTAAAACCCTCCACAGGCACTGAGTCACTGACCCTTCCCCAAACAGAGATATTCTCCCTTCAAAGGCAAGAGAAGGCTCCAAGACAAGGGCTCCACCCAGACTTTCTCACAAGTAAGCCAAGACCGGAACAGAAAGCTCCCTGTCAGGTCTGTCCTTTGTCCAAAAGACATCTATAATCAGAACTCACTGCTAAGGTCGCCAATATACACCAGTTACAGAGTGAGGTCAAAAAGATTCACTTTTTTAAACCATGTTTTAAATGTTTAAAAAATACATATAAACTTTTTGTTTTGCTTTTTAAAGAAAACCATAGAGCCCTAGCTGGTTTGGCTCAGTGGATAGAGCATTGGCCGGAGAACTGAAGGGTCCCGGGTTCAATGATGGCAAATACCCGGGTTGCAAGTTCAGTCCACAGTGTGGGACATGCAGGAGGCAGCTGATCAATGAGTCTCTCATCATTGATGTTTCCATCTCTCTCTCCCTCTCCCTTCCTCTCTGAAATGAATAAAAATATATTTTAAAAAAAGAAAAGAAAAACCATCGAGCCTGGATGGTGTGGCTCAGTGGTTTAGCATCGAGCTATGAACCAGGAGGTTACTGTTCGATTCCCAGTCTGGGCACATGCCCAGGTTGCAGGCTCCATCCCCATTAGGAGGCGTGCAGGAGGCAGCCGATCAACGATCTTCTCATTATTGATGTTTCTATCTTTCTCCCTCTGAGATCAATAAATCAATATATATTTTTTTTAAAGAAACATTTTGATTAGTAAAGTAGTTGAAGAACATGAGAATATTTCAAATGGAAACACAAACCATTTTTTAAGAAAATGGAGAGTTGGGAATATACAGATGGCCAAGAGACATATGAAAAAATGCTCAACTTCAATGATCATCAGAGAGATGCAAATTAAAATGACAACAAGGTATCACTTCACACCCATCAGAATGGCTACCATCAACAAATGACAATCGCTGATGAGGATGTGGAGAAAAGGGAATCTGCTGGTAGGAATGCAGACTGGTGCAGCCACTATGGAAAACAGTATGGAGTTTCCTCAAAAAATTAAATATAGAACTGCCATTTGACCCAGTGATCCCACTTCTAGGAATATATCCTATGAAACCTGAAACACCAATCAGAAAGAATATATGTACCCCAATGTTCATAGCAGCGCAATTTACAATAGTTAAGATCTGGAAACAGCCCAGGTGTCCATCAGTAGATGAGTGGGTACAAAAGCTGCGGTACATTTACACCATGGAATACTGTGCAGCAGTAAAAAGAAGGATCTCTTACTCTTTGAAACAGCATGGAGGAACCTGGAGAGTATTATGCTAAGTGAAATAAGCCAGTCAGAGAAAGATAAGTATCTCATGATCTCATTCATATGTGGAATCTAATAAACAAAATAAACTGATGAACAAAATAGATCCAGAGGCATAGAAGCATGGAACAGACTGTGGAATCTCAGAGGGAAGGAGGGTGGGTGGGAAGATACCAACTGAAGAACTTGTATGCATATATGCATAACTCATAGACACAGACAATAGGGTGGTGAAAGCGGGGCCTAGAAGAGGTCAATGGGGGAAGAAGGGGGACATATGTAATACTTTCAACAATAAAGACTAAAAGAAAATGGAGAGTCAACCCAATAATCATGAAGTCGTACTGTATAAGCATGTTGATATCACAAACATTCCAATACCAAAAAACTGTAAGGTATTTACAAAGTTAAAATTAACATCTGGAACCTACACATTTACTATACATGTGAATAGAAGTGACAGGTCACCTGGGAGCCTGAACAGTGCCTGGCCATGTTTCCCAGTGTAAAATGCTCTGTAGGTCAATTTCAAGGCATAGTGCTCAAGCTCACCCATGCAAGGTGGGGTCCACGCAGAACCAATCACAGCGATAATATGGCCCACTTCACAGAACCCAAGCTGGAGACAATGATGGTCTTACACATGATCTTATACACAGGACAGCCAGTTTTGTTTACCTAAAACCAGGCACATACAACTTAACTAGAGTAGCAAACTTTTTAAATAGGGGTGCATAAATAGGCTTTAGGAAATCTAACTGAATGCTCCCAGATTATATGCAAAACTGTATTACATGTATATTTTTCTGGGGAATAAGCCCACAGGTTTAATGAAATTCTCATAGATAAGCTTAAAAAATTAAGAATCATGGCATTGGGGTCAATCTCCACACTTCAGGAGGAGGGGGAATCTATAAACAACAAAACTGCCAGAAAATTTACCTACCTTCAATTTTACAGTCAAAATCCTCCCCATACATATAAATATATATATATATATATATATATATATATGTAAATCATAATAGATGTACAAAATTTTAAATAAATCATGGATACAAATACAATCTGACAATTTAAAAGCAGGTATTCTGGTTTGGGCTCTGTCACTCACACAACTGCATGTACAATTTACCAATCTGTAAAAAGGGGGCTAATAACACTGCAACAGCAACTGAAATCTGTGACAAGTGCCACTGTAAAAAGGGGAAGAAAAAATGTACAAGGTGAAACTATCTGACCAGTTTTTGCCAATGAGTCAACATACTAAATAACAAGTTATCAGCTGAATAGCTAAGGCAGCAGTTAAGATCTCAGAAAGACTTGCTCCTTTAGTGTTTACTGAAAACAAGATGTACACACATGGGCACCTTCAGGCAATATGAGGAAATTGGGGGTGGAGGGGAATCAAAATGGAATCTGCACGCAATTTTTACATTTCTATTCTATATTTATGTGTCCTTTGTTCATACCAGAACCTGTGCCTCTGACAATTAAAGGGTCTAAAATAGGCCAAAGGACTAAAACAACTCTGAAAGCCCTGTGATTCATATTTATTACTGATAATTATAAGTAATAATACCTTGTATGCATAGGCCTTGGCTTTTACATATATTATTTCCTTCTGATCTACTTACATTGTTTCTGCTAGTTTAAATTAATTGAGTCTGCTCTTGCATCTTATTTTCAGGGGCAAGATTTATCATGGGATGATAAGAGTGTTTACCATTTTCCCGATAAATCCCCTCTTGCTAGTGTTAGGCCTATTTCTTGCCTTTCCTGTCCAGTATCCATTTACTTCTTCGTCCATTAAATATTTATTGAGGGACTATGAAAGGAGAGGAGGACTCCATCTGTAACTCTCGGGGGCCTTAACCTTCGTAAGCCAGACAACTGTGTTCATTAACTCTAACTAGGTTGGTATTAACAACTTTTGCTCCTCTGGCGACAGTGTCACTAGCTAGAAGAGCGGGGACAGAGTTTGCTTAACTTCTCACTTATGGCACCAATCCATGCACTGGGCAAAACAGATACATCCAGCGGTTTGGGCCACGGCCCGGCAAAGAGCATCCACCCCATCCGCCAATCTATCCGCAGCGGCGGCCGGTGGGCGGGGCTTGTGGAAGCCGAGGGAAGGAAGGGAACGGAGGGAGGAGATCTGGGAGCGCCGAGTAGGACCTGCCACTAGAAGTGACAGAAACAGGGAACCCAAGGCACTGCCGACAGGGGACTAGACCCCCTTTCCTTCCTCCTCAAGGGTCACGGGGGGGCGGGGCGGAGGTACCTAGTTTCTGCCCCAGGTAGGTGAGGCTGTGATAGACCTTCTCGGCTGCGGCCAGGTGGGCCAAGGCCGCCAGCAGCGACAGCCAGCTGCCCCCCGCGCTCTTGTTGGCCTCTCGTTCCTTCTCCACATTGTCCTTGGCCTTGTCGTAAGAGAAGACACCCAGGTGAGAGAAGAACGTCTCCAGCACAGCCTGTTCCACCGGCACCGGGGCGGCCAGCGGGATAGACTCCCCCATGCGAGCCGCGCGCCAGCTCCACCCACGTGGCTCAGCTCTCCCTCGCACTTCCGGGTTCTCAAGCAACGTGCGCGCCGCGTGCGTGCGCGTGCGCGTCACCGCCGCCAGCGGCGGGCTGGGGGAGCGCGCTGCCGCCGGGACCGCGCCTGGGCCGTGGAGGGCGCGGGTGAGGGCCCAGGAAGGAGGCGGCGGCCCCTCAGCTGCTGAGCAGCTCCCGCGCTTCAGGTCCCGCGGCTCTGAGTATTCGGACCCTCAGGGCCGAGCGCGAAGTGCCCAACTCGCTGCTCCGTGGAGCTGGCCGCGTTCTGAGGTGAGCTGAGAGGCCCCTCCCGTGACACCGCGTCAGTGTTGATGACGTCACGTTTACATGACGTCAGTAGTTCCTGCCCTAGCCTCTGGCCTGGGCTCTCTGTGGGCCCCAGGGGCGGGGCGAGGTTGTGAGACTGGTGGCTGGAACAGCGCTCGCTCTCAAACGACAAGGAGTCAGTCCTCAGAGCGTTTAAACCAACTCATGTAAGTGGTTTACAGATTAGAAGGCTTATGTTTTATCGCCACGTCTAATTTTCACCCAGTCACAGACTATGGGCTAATTGCCACCTGTATCCCGTCCTAGTCATCTGAGGTCCTTGCCAGCAGCCTCCAAGCAGAGCTACTCTTCAGCTTGGACTACCCACACTACATGAGGCTTCCTTGTAAAGGTCTCAGAATGAAGAGTAAATTAACGTAACTTCTGTTAAGAGATCTGAATGGGTGCACTTTGTCATTCGGATTAATTGCAGATTCCTTTGACATTTAACAAGCACCATACACCCAGCCCATAGGTATGTCCGCTACTCACTGCCTTCGTTTTTTCCTTTCTCCTTCTTTGTACATGCTTTTTTAATGCTACTTAACCACACTGTATTAATCACACTGTATTTTTACGTGTCTCTTCTCCCTACTAAGTGGTAAACTCCCTAAGGCAGGATATAGGTTCGCTCACCTTTATTATCTTTTCATAATGGATAGTCCAGTGATGTTTATTGGACAAATGAGGGACTTTTCTATTTTAATTTTTTTTCAAACTAGAGCTATTTTGCCATTACTACAAACCATTTGACAGTACAGTATTTAATGCCAGTCCCATAGCTTAATTTTAATGAATATATATAGCACACCTATTCCCTGCTCTCAAGAATATAATTGGATATGATCAACCCTGTTAACTGTGATACAAGGCAGAATTTTATATGTCATAAAGGTGAAAAAGGAGGCAGCAATCATTGGGGGCTGGGCGGGGGGGGGAGAGGAATGGAGGCTTCCTAGAAGGGAATATGATGGTTCTTGATGAATAGAAGCCAGTAATAAAAATTTTAGCTCTAGCTGGTTTGGCTCAGTGGATAGAGCGTCGGCCTGCTGACTGAAGGGTCCCAGGTTCGATTCCAGTCAAGGGCACATGCCCGGATTGCGGGCTCGATCCCCAGTAGGGGGCGTGCAGGAGGCAGCCCATCAATGGTTCTCTGTCATCATTGATGTTTCTATCTCTCTCCCTCTCCCTTCCTCTCTGAAATCAATAAAAATATATTTAAAAAAATTTAAAAAGGTGTACTACTACTCGCACCAAAACCAACAGGCAATGAAAGAGTTATAAAGCTAATAAACATACCCAAGTAATATAAGAATTCTTTAGATAGTAAAGATAAGATCATAAATCAGTGGGGAAAGGAAAATTGATTCAATTAATAGTGATGGAGACATGATTATGAAAAAGAAAACTTTACCCTGCATTCTGCAATGAAAAATAATTACATGTATAAAAAAGCCCCCACAAATTACAAAAAATTAAATTGAAAATTTAATTGCTCTAGGGATACAAAAGAACCTTTTATTTATAAAAATTGGAAGAAATTACAAAGGAAGAGATTGGCCTGACTATATAAAAATATCAAGGAAATGCTATATACCAGCCCTGCCAGTGTGGCTCAGTTGGTTGAGCGTCGTCCTGTGCACTATAAGGTTACAGGTTTGATTCCCAGTCAGGGAACATGCCCAGGTTTGAGGTTCAGTCCCCAGTAAATGGGAGGCAGCTGATCGATCAGTGTTTCTCTCTCACATTGATGTTCCTCTCTCTCTCTCCCTCTCCCTCTCTCTCTAAAAAAAAAAATCAATAAAAACCTATTTTTTTAATGCTATACAGACTTGGTAGAAAATATTTGTAATACGTCAGACAAATGTTTAATGTGCTGAACATATCAAGATCTAGTGATCATAGAAATGCAGATTAAACTATTCTATTTTTCACCTATCAGATTTTTAAAAACTTTCTTTTAAGTGCTGGTAAACAAGCAGTGAGTCTGTTCTTATCTATTGCAGATGGTGTGTAACTTGATCTGAACTTTCTGGAAAACATTTGACAATACAGTATTTATTAAGATTAAATGAGAGTACGTATACAGTGTCTAGAACAGTGTCTAATAAGACAAAGTAGATGCTTAATAAGTATCAGTAATACCTATTATTGTTACTATTATTGTTATTGTTATCATTGGTATTGTACCTTTTAATCAACAGAGCACCTAGAATAATACTTTGAACTTAATGGATGTTTGCTAAATATTTGATTGGCTGAGTCTTCTTGTCTCATAAGAATTTTATAGGAAAAGATATACAGTTGATGACATGTCAGGCTGTTAAAACATTAAAGTTATAAAGCAAGAAGTTACCTTGAATGATCATATGGTTCAGCCCATAAGCAGGATACTTTGTACAGTAGCAATAAATGTTTGTTATTGATAATATGTTACCTATTTGATTCCTGCATATCAAAAAACATAGTGGCTTCAAACAATGAAAATAATCTCACAATTTCTGTGAGTAAGGAATTAAAGAGTGGCTCAATTGAGCATTTGTGTTTCACTTTCTCATAAAATTGTAGTCAGATGTTGGCTAGGGCTGTTGTCATCTGAAGACTTGTTTGGAGCTGGAGAATCCATTCACAAGGCGGCTCTCTCACATGTCTGGCAAGTTGATTTATCAGACATTTGCTATGGAACCACCTTTTTCATTCTCTTTTCAGATTATTTACTAAGAATACCATATAATATTAAATAGTCTTTTTAAGCACCTAACTTTCAACTAAATGCTTTCCCTATTGTATGTAGAAAAGTCTGATTTTTTTAAAAAATAAAAACACCCACTTTTTTTTTCATTTAATTAACTCTCTTTTTTTTTCTACACATCTAAATATAATGTGATTTTGAAATCATGATTTGGGGATTATACTGGAACTAATCCAAACTTTAAGAAAGATTATGTTAGATCTATTCTCTGACCATTGCCTAGTATTGATATAGAGCTGCATTGTCCAGTATGATAGCCACTAGCAATATGTGGCTATTTACATTTAAAAAATATTGAAACTAAATAAGATTTAAAATTGGGTTCTTCATTTGCACTAGGCACATTTCAAATCTCAGTAGCCACCTGTGTCTAGAGGCTACTGTATTGGATGGCACAGACACCAAAATTTTCATTATCTTAGAAAATTCTATTGGGCAATGCTGGAGGAAAAAATGTCATAAGACAGAATTTCACAGATAAAACAAAATAAATCAAAATGAACAGAAAAGTTCTGTTATTATTTTAATTCTATTTCATACTTTCTTGACAATCTCTACATTTATGTTTTTCTCTTTAAAATGTTTTATATGTGATACATATTGTGCTTAGTACTTTACATGAATTAACTCACTGAATCCTTAGGACAATGCTATGCTCATTATGGAAAATTTAGAAAACATTTAACAGAGAGAGAACCAACCTTAATCCCCAAACCAGAGATAATCACTGTTGACATTTCTGGTGGATGCTGTAGTGTGCTGCCCAGATCCCAAGATACAGCTGCCAGGAATGTTGGCTGCTGATGGCTCACAGTTGAATTTCTCTCCAAAATTGCCTTCTGTGAAAGAAAATACCTCACCCTAGGTTATATCCCCTCCCTGGGGGCAAGCCAAATCCAATGACTGGTCAATTGTGGAAGTACAAAGGCACAGTCTCTCAATTGGGACCATCTGGGACATCCAGCTTTAGAACGTCCATGGGACTGGTTTAAGTCACTGTGGCAACTGCCCTGCGGGTTACCTTCTCCCTCTGCCCAGTCCTGCCTCCGCACAGGTACTGTTCCTGAGAGCACTCTCCAGTAAAGCACCTGCATGCAAATCTCTCTCTCAGAGTCTGTTTTCTGGAACATCCAACCTAAGTCGACATGTTCAGCATGTAAGTTCCAGTTGTTGTTTTTGGCACATATCTGTTTACATTTTTTAAATCGATCTAAATTTATTCCACTCCAACAAATTTGATGGGTTTTTTTTAATAGATTGTTTTATATGTTTTCAGTTGACAGCATTTTATGAATAATTTTGCTTGCAACTACATGTTCTTCTATACCACAATTTAACAGGAATCATAGGACAGTCAATCTTGTATTCTTAGGTATTTTTCTGTTTCCTGGATTTCACTGTGGCAGACCCTAAAACTCAGTAGACCAACACAGTTTCAAACTGCTCTCTCACTTGCCTGCCTTTAGGATGGGAAAAAACAAATATTCCCATTTATTTCATTTTCCTAGCCTCATTAACCATGGGGGGCGGTGTAAATCCCAGCCATTGGGAAGTAAGCTGAAGATTTCTGAGATTGAGGAGGAAGTTCCAGGAAATCTTGCCCTCCTGAATTAAATGGGACAGCCCAAACTGGTATCATCTCTTACCTGTTTTTTTTCTGCTTTCTAAGGAATGAGATAGCTAGGGCTTTGAGCATTTAAATCAATGCCAGGGAAAAGTTAAGAAAATTAAAGGCTTTTAGCTTGGAGATTGTTGAGCATTTAAATCAATGCCAGCAACTACCAATCTCTGAATTTCATATTATAATTAGAAAAATAACTATTGTTGTAACCTACTTGTGCTTGGGTTTTCTGTTTTTTATAGCTAAAGTCATTTGTAAATGTCACTGTTGCTGAAATTCATGATTAGAAGTGATGCAGTGGTGAACATCATTGTACATAAATACTTAAATAGCAACAACTTAACATTAAAGTCAGGGAAGAAGAGAAGTAGGATCCTGCATTCCCAACATTTCTTCTTCTTGACCATATGCAGCTCTGTCCTTAACTTTCCCATTATCTTTTCCTTGTGGGGATCAGAAAAATAGTGCATATGAGGCTTCCTTTATTCTTCTAAAAGACAAGTAGTTAGAAGAGAAAATAGATCTTTTATAAATCAGAATCTTATCTCCAAATAGGATTTTTTGCCAAATGTATCATGTCATGGTATTCAT